TTGGAGTATCCTGTACCCTGTGGAAAATAAAAAGCAAAAGCCACCTCTGATAAGAGTGCGTCAGTTACTTTTATATGAAACAGATTTATCTTTCAGTAAAATCAATGTCCTTGCCCCCACAAATACGGAAATGCGATCACGTTGGTGTTTGTTAGATGCACACAGAGTCACTAACACATCCGAGGGGCAGAAAGCCAGTTACTAAACCCCATTTTAAATGACAGTCTTGATGAAACATACTGGTTAGTCAGGCAGTGTTTTTGCACCTGTTAAAGTAGCCTTGTGCATCCTGTGAGCGAGACGGGGAGCCAGCAACTTTACCCCATAATGAGGCCAATATCTCGCTCAAAGCCTTTCTGTGCCTTTTGTGTGGTTTACTGTGTCCTTGGCTCATGAGCCTTGATAATGTTGGTAAATACATACAGGAGCAAGGATAAACTAGGCTGTAATCCACACTACCTCTAGATGGAAGAGGAAGGGAGTGATACCGGGGGAGAGGAGAGGAAAGAGAAGCAGCTGATTAGACTGGTTTTACTGCTCCTCTGCCGACCTAGAAAAACACAGCAGCCCTGACCTTGCATAGCCCAACCCTTATATATCTAATGATCTCTGAGTACCTTAATGATACAATGTGTTCTCTCTCCCGCTCTTTCCCTACATTTTCCTACCCTTCTTTCATGGAGCTCTCTCCCTTTTCTCTCTCTTTTTAACACAAGCGTTTGCACACGCGCGCTAGTCCACACAAACACACACACACTCACACAAAGTACACAGCCTTGAAAAACCCAGTCAGCAGTTTGGGCTCAGAGTCTAGCAAATGAGCTGTCCTATTGAAATAGAAAGGAGAGTGCTCTATGCTGTAGAAAATGCTGCTATGGCAAGCCTTACAGAAGAGAGACGGAGGGAAAATTACTTGTTCGGACAAAGAAACATGAGAATGTCCTTTCACTACAAATGTACCAATTTACATTTGGACGGTGCAGATTACATCCATTTCTCCCATACTTTATTTCTTTTTTAGCCCTCTTTTACCACCCCCACACCTCATCTCATTATCATTCATAAAACACCACTAAGTGCTGTAAGAGCCGTAAGAGAGACAAAAAACTTCCAATTCAAAAAATGTCTTTTTCTCATTGATTTAGCGTTCCTTTATCTCGTCCTAGGTGCTCCATTGGTTTTAACACTGCGATTGTGGTTGGACTCCTGCAGTTTAATGGTGGCGCCACTGTTATATAGCTCAGTTCAATTGTATCAAAGATGACTAACCAGCCATAGTGCCGTCTTACATTCTTAAAGCGGGGTACTGAATACTGTGTAGAAATCTTCTATCCCACCTAGAGGACTGTATTTTTAAGGCATGATGGGTCTCTAATTATTGGTTCTGATACATAGCCATCTGCAACTTTATAAAAACCATTTAAGTGGTAATTAAGCTTTTGATTTTTCTGCCTGTTTTGTCACCATGAAGAAAACTGCTTCCATTGTCTTGAGCCATTCATTGTTGTGTCTGATTCCCTCTCTTTAACCACTTAACGCGTAAACCTCCATTTGGTCCTGGTATTCCCCCTTCTTGCTCGATCGGTCCACGGTAATTAAGATTCCATTTTGCTGTGAATAGGAACGTTAAAATGGAGGGTTATCGCTGGGCTTCTGTCGGCTCACCCAGCGAAACACCTATAGTGACCTCTCTGATTTACCCAATAGGGGTCCCTCCTTCGCCCCCCTTGATATCCCTCTTCCCCCCCACCCTCATGGCCATCTTGTTGTGTGGTCTCCTCTCTTCAGTTCTCTCATTACTCTCTGTGTGAAGGCCTGGGAGATGGGTGGCAGGGGAGGAGTGGGGCGGCTGCAGAGGAGGGCTTCTGTCCCTGGATGAGTGAGTGTGGATAAGAAGTTGTTTGAATTCATAATTGTGCTCTTGTGAAGGGGGAGATTTGTAAAGCAAGGCTGGGTTCATTGTGTGGCAGTGCGAGTCCGGTGGAGGGTGCGAGCCGCTCAAAGCTAATGTAATCTACGCTATTAGAGAGGGTTAATTAGCTGCTGAACTGGAGCCTGAAGAGCAGGCAGAGAAGGAGAGACACACAGAGCGAGACAGAGAGAGAGAGAGAGAGAGAGAGAGAGAGAGACGGAGGGCGGGCAGTAGGGATAGAGAGGTCTTCAGGGAGTCATTAGAGACTGCTTGTTGTAATACAGCCACACAGTCAATAAGGCTTCTCCTCTGAGGAGTAGAAGAAAGACATGGAAGGAAAGAGAGTTTCACACCAAGTGTGTGGATGTTAGCAGCTCTGCCACTGGACACATGTTGGGAAACCACTACAGCTTTATTTTTAGATTTTGTCAGAGAAGGGCTTTGCAAGTTTTTGCCCCCAGAAGTAGTTGTATATTAAGCAGTTATCCACAGAAATGTAACTTATGTAGCAAAATAACACAACATAAAACACAGTTTGATAATTTACTTATTTTTTTATAAACAATACTAATTTACCACAACATAAATTTAAAAAAAATCTCAGAACAGCCAGTAAATAAAAACATTTTCACACTCTGTAGATACAAATAACACCAGGAACTGACTTTCTGTCTCTACACAATCTTTATTCTTTTTCTATGGAGCTGTCATTGTAGCATCTCTTTGACTCTCTCATAAACTACAGTGTTAAATCAGACTGGGTGTGAAACTACAGTGATTTCATGCTGTCTTCATGTGGTTAATTTCCTTTTCACAGCAAATCACGCTACGGGAGAAGAAAAAACAGATCCAATTTCAAAGTACCTATATAATGGTTGATTTTACAATTGATTTTCTTTTAAGAAATAATACATTATTAATGTAAAGCACATCCTGTCATCCTGAGCTAAATTTCTTCAGCAGCTTTGTTGGATTACATAGAATATTAGATTAGTTTTAAATGTAGTGTCCTTTCACAATAAGTGCGTTGAGTACAAATACTAAGACAACGAAATGCAGTTTAGCATCACAGCAGAAGTAAAGTGTATTATCTGGTGTTGTATTCTGCCTTAACTAGTAGTTGTAACTGTTGGCCCTCTAACCTCCATTCTGCACGTGAAATCAAGCAATTCCAGGAATACGAAAGCACTGATTTCTTGAAAGTTTCATGAAGTATACTATAATCTTTGTTTAATTCATTGCACCGTGCTTTGAACAGCAGTAACAATGAAACCAAAAAAAGTTTATTCTTGAACTTATTTTCTTTTGCCTTGAGCCTTCCTTTTTGTGGATTGTACTACACAAAATTATATTTATTCACCTTGACTACCTGTCATGCTCTCTGTTCTGCATCTAAAAGGCCTGCGCAACTTATTGCTCAGTGTTTTTTGTTTTTTTTTTGTCTCCACACTGGGAACAGCCACGGCTGGACGCAATATGTTTTGGATTTTCTTTATGTCTGTACATAACTCCATACTTAAGTACTGCTGTGTTGTTCTTGTGAATGCGATTTATCTGGAGTGCTGAAGGGATTTCATTACATCTGGCATAAGTGTTTACTTGGACCCAAGAATGAACTGATCAGAATTTGGTGGTCAATGGTCACGTAGACCTCACAAAACAAGCTTTTCCCCCCCATAACTCACACAGATTTCTTACAGATGTCTATTGGGATAAAATGAGGAACTGATGGTGTTTTATATCCAACAGGTCAAAGGTCATCTTCACTCTGACACAAAAACACTTCTCAGGCAGTTATTTAACGCCATAACTCAGGAACAGAAGGGGAGATAGTGACCATATTTTACATTTGGTCCGATACTGAATTGGTGACACTAATCTTGGTGCCCTCATGTAACGGTGGGGATTGTATCGATCTTCTGAGTTGCTAGGTTGAATATGTGCGTCCATATTTTAGATCTTTTAGCTTTTTTGCAGCAGCATCGATATTTGAAGCATTGTCGAGTGTAATGGCTAAACTTTTATCCTATCAGGATCGACTTTATTGGTCAAGCATGTGAACATATACAAGTATTGTGACTCCGTTTTGCATTTCTCTCAGGGAACTTACACACTTCAAAGTCTTGATTACATATGTTCTGACTCTGGCCTGGGATGGATGGAAGCTGCAACTTGGTTGGTGTTTAGATGCATACAACCTTAAGGTGATGATTCTAGTTTATTCTTTACTTTTTTATCAAAGTTGCAATCCTACACTTAAAATCGCGCCTGGGAAGCTCTGCCGGCCCCCTGCTAGCAGTCGATTTGTATTTATCGATATGTTCTGTAGTACTCCATCCTATGTCTTATGTGGTTGTCGCTCTGAGCAAAACTTCACTTAAGACGGGTAGTTAGTGTCTGCTCCCCTGGCATTTTAATTCAGATTAATTACTTTCCCTGGCTCAAACAATCCATTTTTGTTTGTTTGTGGATGTTTTTAGCTTTTTCTTGACCTCGGGGTGAAGAAAGAGAGAAAGACAGAGGGAGAGGAAGAAAAAAAAACCCCTCTACACTAGACTTATACCCTCAATTTAATAGCCGAGTGAGGTGTTTCTCCAGCATCATCAGATCAATGGAGAGTAAATAGCCCACACTTCTTGTTTCACAGTGCAGTATTGATCTTTTCCTCAGTCTCGGCTTCCCTTTCCCCAGCATCTCGTGTCTTTCAACCCCTGGGACTGTGCTGATTGCCATAGATTGGACAAGCTAACAAGCGCATGATGAGGAACCAGGCTTTCTTTTCTTCTCATAGGCTGTTTCATTTTTTCTTTGTGGCACTGGCATGAACACACACAGACAGACAGACACACACAGGGACTTAAAAACATCAGATCTACACAGCTCAGCCCCATAAAGGAGTATGCTGTTTCTTTCTTGTTCCCTCTGTTGTTCACGTTGTTCTGTCTTCATCTACACTGAGAGGATCTACTGTAGCTGTGCCTGTCTTTGGGATGTTTGCCAGTCTGATGGAGTATACCAACTTAACTACAGAGCAACTCCGAGATACTGTGTGCTTCTTCACCTCACTGGGAACTTTATTTTATTCCAGCTGGCACCGTGTTTGTTCCAGAATCTTCCATCATCTCTGAAAATATGTCAAGTGGCCTGCGGAGAGCGACACACTCTGTTTGCGCTGGAGGACGGCACAGTGGCGGCATGTGGGTAAGTTCAGTGTCAATGCAGCAGACAGTTTGCCGAAGTCCAGACCGGAGGGGGATAGGAGGAGAGATGTGGAGGCAAACCCCTCCCCGCTCATCCCAACCTCCCCCCTGATATTACTGCATAGGCAAATAAGGTTCAGGGGAAAGACTGAAAGATTGCATGTGGGGTACAGTGACGAGTAATCGCTGGGTATTTAAAGTTTACATTTCCTGCGTGTGTGTGCGCCTTCTCATTTCTTCTCGGCATGCAGAGTTGTAATAAATCTTGTTGTGTGTGGGTAAGAGAGGTGCATGTGTTGCCGCGTGGCTTAGGATCAATATGAAGTGTGTTTATTGAATCCAATAGTTGTTTATGCGAAGAAAGGAAATAAACCAGCTGGAATAAGTGATCAGATGTGCTTTTAAGCCTCATTACTAGCCCGTTGGGTATATAGATCTGCTTTTAAACAGCCATGTAGATTGGACAAGTTTATGCTTGAACACGGCAAACATGATATACATGCAGATTTCAGAATCATGTTTGATCATCTCCCTATATTGCCAAGATTTCTCCTTCACAAACTTAGATTAATGTTTCACTTCCAACTAGTTGTGTTCTTGAATTCTGCTGTGTTCCTAAAACTATCTTAATTTAGTCTGTTAATTATAAATAGAGCTTTTCTTGAAGGTTTATCTTAAGGACAGATAATAGATTGGATATCTAAATTGAGGGAAATAGAATTATACTTCGTGCCACTGTTTTCTGTCATTACATTCACGATCCTTTCCCCCCCTTTCTTTTGAGTAGAAACAGCAGCTGTCTGGAAAGTGTTTACATTGACTTGACTTGTCATTAAATTGAAGATACAAGGTGTAAAACAGTCTGCCTTTAAAATCTGTTTTGATTAGGAATAATTAGGATTATTGGAGATGGATGTGGTTGCTAAATTCTCCCTGAAATTAAGGTGTGTAGCAAATTGACTGAAATAACTAATATCAACAGGATGCAGTCTAAACATATCGGTTTAATGTTGATTCACAGTATTGATTAGACTCGTCGTTTTTGTATTCTAGAAAGATGAGTTGGTGTTGTGCTCTGTCTTGGTTTTTGCTGAAGGGAATTCAAATATATTATTGATAACATCTGATTTTAAGGTGGCCTAAAGAGGGCTGGGAATCTCCTTATCAGAAACATTTGGACACCAGCGTGTGCTAACAAGCTAGCAAGCTAATACAAAGACTGACAAAAAGTCACAGCATTACAAGATAATTACACGTTCAGTTCAGTCAGGATTAAAAAACTGTATTTGAAAGAAATCTAGTAAACAGACAGCGATTTCATTTTTTTTTACTGACATTTTAAAATACAGGTTTGTTCCTGACATCTTTGTTTTTACCTGCCTTTTATTTCTGATGCCTTCATCCTCAACTTACCTGAACCCTGAGCCGATCTAACCACACACAAATGCACACCCATTCTTTCCTCTCTTCTTGGCTCCCTGTGTTTGCATGTGATATTTTAGGTGACTCTGGGAGGGATGACAGTTCTAACTAGGCCTATTAGGTAACCCTCAGGGTGCCCTCAGCACTGATTTGAGCACCATTAATTTTCTATTATGGAGTGCTAAAGATGTGCCCCTGCACAGTCATTCACCTGGCTTATTGAGTCTCGCACACACCAATTGTGGACTTTTCTAGGGCAGTGTTGCTGAAGGTTTAGTGCGACCCCTCTGGGGAGCTAATTTATTATTTGCAGATATCGATCTGGCAGGGTAGGCCAGCCAAGCCATGGCCGATGTTGACTCTGCTCTGGCCTGTGGCGACTTTAACCCTTTCCAGACTGCAGCCGACACACGCGAGATGGATGGTCAGTGGATGTTAGAGCACTGCTGTTACGAGTTGTTTCAATTCCCTTGCTTGTTCAGTGATTTTTTTATTATTTGATTTAAATGAGCAACTGATGGAAGCAATTTGCAGCAAGGAAAGGATAGGTTTTATCTTTCTGGTTATATAACTTTGTTCTTTTTTTGCAAACGGATAAATAGGCAGACACATCCACACATGTACGTACACTCAGACACACACGCTGTCTGGCCTGTCCAAGGGAAATAAAATCACAGTTAAGAGGAAGGAAAACAAATTTAGAAGGTCAGACAAAACATTTATCAAGCTGTGTATGTCTGGTGGGTAAATAACAGAGGGACGGTAAAGGGCATGACTCTGAAACCACCAGATAACCACAGCAGATCATCACACACAGTCTCAAGATTCACTGCAGAGAACGGATATTTCTCAGAGGGTTTCCTTCAGAGCATTTACTAATATTCTCTCTCCTGTATTGCTGTTTTATTTTGAACATAAAACTGAGTTATTACAGCACACACCCATGTGACTGAAATGAAAGTTGTCGTGGTGAAAGGCAGAAAAGAGGGAAAACTAGACGTCTTTGAGCAAATGTAGCAAAAGGATGCAGCAGAAGGAAATGCATATACCAAACAATGAAGAGGAAACCCTTCTTCCTCCAGAGTCTGGGCTTAAAATAGTCAGGGAACATGTGCTGTGCATTTAAGCTACATATCAGATTTGTTGCATAATTAGGTTTAATTTAAATGGCGACCACAGAAGAGAGGAATAGGGAAGGAAAACAAGACTTAAGAGAAAAATAAAACTTCCATAAACTAAGACAAATAATAATACGTTAGACATCTTGTACAGTACCTGACCATAAATTCCTAAAGCACAGACATTGGGCTATTTATTAACACGCTATCTGAACATTCACAGTATACGACAAAAGCAAATGGCACATTTGAGAGATTGTAATTTCATGCAGTCACATTTCTGCTTAATCCTGCGCTATGATGTAATCGAAAAATAACTTGAGCCAAAAAACAGGCTTCTCAGAGCGACGAACAAGACAGAACATGAACATTGCGTTTAATGAAATACCCAGATGTGGCTTGTGTGCATGTGTGTAGAAAGTAAGTGTGTCCTGTCTTTGTAAAATTAGCCATCTATTTATTGATGTCGTTATCATGCACACACACGCACTCTCACACTCACACACACACTGTATTAACTTACTCTCCAGGATTGGTGCTAGTCAAGCGTGCGCACGCACACACACAAACACACGCACGCACACACACACACACACACACACACACACACACACACAATTATGCCCAGGGACCAATAAGTCGCTTCCCACAGGCCTCCTCAAGGCCTTGCTACAACCTCATAGTCAGCTTGGCCTGTCCTCACCCTAATTGGTATTTAATGCTCTCACTGAACCTCAGAGGTCAAACAGCAGTTTCTGTGTGTATGTGCGTAGTTGTGCGCGTGTCTGTTTGTGTAAGGGAGCTGAGCCAAGTAAGTCACAGGCTGTATAACCAAGAAACGACACAAAAACGCTATAGATTGCACAGCTATGGGGTGTCCTGTGATGAGTGCTAGGAAGCCTGAATACAGCGTGAATGATGATAGATGTCCAGAGAGGAATTATGGAGGATAATAGACCACCATTTTCCTTTTATACCGGTTGTTATGATAGCATTTTGCCTGATTTTTATGGCCTGGAATATAAAATAAAGGTCAGGAAATTTCCCAGAGATGAAAGTGCCTCCAACCAATCCAAATTTGTCCATACTCCTTCTGTAAAGACGATTTCATGGTTGACAACCCTGTCTCTTGTTGAATTTGGCGTAACCTCAGAAGATGGCTCATATTCATCTTCCATATTCATGTGAGTCCCTGAAACTGAGGTGGAGGTCAGAGAAAAGACATCACTGACGAGGAAACATGATGGAGTGGATTTTCCACTGTTTTGCTGCGTAGTCTCTGTTAATGTTGTTATGAAAGAGTGGGCAGTGCGCCCGTGGAGCCCTGACAGGGAGGAAGACAGAGGGAAGGAAGCCACCCTCTCCACAGGCGTTCGATGCCACTTCCAAAACTCAACTGTCTGATTACTACTAGAGACCACAGTTTGTAAAGACGCACATCACAGCTGTCTACACTCAGGGAGAGGGAAGAAAAAGGCAAGAAAAAAAAAATGTGACAAATAAAGATGGAAGGGGCTGAAACATGAATTGGTGACAAATAAGAGATTACCCATCATCGCTTATTTTGTGATGTCTGTGGAATATCATTGTGTGTTTCATCTACCAGATCCGTCTGCTATAAAGGAGAAGAAGAAAGCATGGGGTGGGGTTTCATTTTATGTTGTGTCTCTAAAATATGTAATTATCAGACTTGATCTGTTCTCAGCACTACGAGATCAGTCCAACATCTGGACCAGTCCAGACTAATGGCATACAAGGAGACACGCCTTGATTGAACATAAAGAAAGTGTGGAATTTCATAGTGCATCCAGCTTTGTTTGCTAAAAACGGTACATGCTCTTAGTTTATCATGAAATTTTTCATTGGATTTACATCCATTACAGAGCTTTGGAACCTGTGCCATTACAAATTGCTCTATATGTAAAAGGAGTAAATGTGGTTCTAAAGCAACACAGTTGTCAATAAGCATCAAGCAGCCGTCGCTGACGTGCCTGCTGTCTCATCAGTAATCAGGCCAATCTGTTTTAGCAGAAAATGGCCATACACGGCGCAGCATTGATGGAAATGTCTCATTTCAACTTCATGGTGCCTTGAGAAGGCAAAGCAAATCAGCAAATGTTCATGAATTTGACAGAAGAAGCGTGGAAATTCTATGACAACTAGTTGGATTCGGTGAGCTGAGTGCCAGCACTTTGCATTAAGTTACACTGAGCACTAATTGGATGCTACCTGGCTCAACATCACTAGCAGCTCTGAACAGGATCAGGATCTGGCTCTGACTAACAGCAAGCTCTCTGGTGTTGCTGGCTGATTACCCTCAGCAAAGGGAAAAGCGAAACGATGATGAGAAAAAAAAATCCCTTCTCTCGCACAAGCCCTTGGCCCTGTTGGCACTGTGCTAGCTTTTTGATTTTTCCTGATGTCCCTGAAATTGATTTTCAGCCATGATTGCATCGCTTCT